ATATCGGATTCTGCGTTCGGACGACTGTATTCTGCGTTTAGCAGAATGTATTGGTAATGCGACTTGGGTTGGAACTATGGCGAAGCGACTTTACTGGTTGCTCAGCATTATCACGAACTTTGTAAGCAACAACATTTGGAAACCATGATCGATATTATAAGACAACTGTATAAATATATATAAATACTGTATGTATTTGTCGTTTAGCTAGAACCATTAGGTCCAACTAGCTGTTAAGCAAAAACCTATACAATGCCAAAACCGCCTATGACGGGACAGCTACCTATAAACAGGATTGCGGCCTATGTCAGACCCTTTACATATTTTGGGTTAGACTATCTCGGTCCCTTTTTTGTAGCGATTGGTAGGCGTCATAAAAAAGGATGGGTAGCGTTATCACCTGCATTACCACAAGGTCTATACACCAAGAGTTTTCTAAAGATTTGTAACTTGTAATTTTTGTAAAGTGTACAGTGTAAAGAAAAAGTACCTCAAGTTGAATTTTTCAAGGTCTATCAAAGGAAGCCACACCGTCAACGCAATCGATGTCGTTAAACTCGAATCGATGTACTCGATGTCATCGGTGAATCTCACCAAGCGCTTTGATTCACGGGTGTTGGAATGTACATTACTAGATTCTTTGAAAAGTACGTAACAAGCAGAAGGAAGCGTTTCCGACCATATTAAGTATATATTATATTCTTAATCAGGATCAATAGCCGAATCGAACTCGATCTCAGGAACTACGAAAGCTAAAATGTTAAGATTAAGCATGCAGTTTGCAGAGACATAAACAAAACTGTCACGCCCAAACATTTGAAAGAAATTTTGTAAATTCCAAAAAAAAGGTTTGCCACGCCCACTCCAACGCTCACAAACCGAGCAAAACAGAGAAAACAATTTTTATAACAATTGATTTAAAATCGATCACTGCTTTAGGACTTTAGATACGTTTCCAGAGGGGTTGTTCGTTTAATCTTTTTTCTGGTCATCGGGTTAGCCAGGTGGTTGATGTTCGTTGTATCACCTCGAGTGACGGGTTATCTGTTCTCTGACAGGAATATGGAGGTCCTTTGCTAGGGCGTTGTTTCTGATGTACCAATCCGCATTTGCAATCACGCGCAGCGAGTATTTCTTGTCCAATTTAAATTTTTTTCTGAGAAATTATTTATTTATCTGGCACTTCTCTTATATTGACGGTTAAACAACTGCATGCTTGCAATAAAGAGCGAACAAAAATAAAAAGAAAGACGATAGCCAAACAAACCTTCACATTCTTAAAAAAATTAATATATTTATTAAAGGTATTAATGCTTAATTAATTATATAACAAAATATATAAAATAAGTCAAGGAAGGATGGAAGAAATTATAAGAAATAACTTTTTGCTTGACCGGCACTACTATTATTTTACCCGCAACAGTAAGTCGGAACTGAAATAATCGGAAAAAATTACAACAAGCTGTTTAAACTGTTTACCTTAGCTCTAGAATCTTCAGTTTCGTCATATATGGAAGGAGTACTTTGTGATCTGTCGTCATTAAAAAGGTAACAAATTGGATGCAAGCAATTACAGAGGAATCTATAAATGATAAATGATTTTTTTTTTAAATATTGACACTCCTTATTTGCAGCACCTTTGTAGGTCATATTTTTTGCACGGTGATATTGTCAGCACGGTTTTATGACACGCAGATCAACAGCCACTAACCTTTTGGAACTTCCTTCGTAATACAGGACTTCAAAAATTATCTTCAAACATATGTCATCTGCACAGACTTTAATAAAGCCGTTGACTCTTTTAATCATTCAATTTTGGTAAGAAAGTGTATTCCCTATTGATCTTGCAAATTGGATATTAAGTTACCTAAGCTAAGGGTCCTTTTTAAAAATTCTCTTTCTTGTATGTTCCGAGACACATCCGACTTCCCACAAGGGAGTCACCTTGGAGTCACACAAGCTGATGATCTTGGCGTTATTTTAGACTCTACTCTCAAATTTTGAGACCATATTTCGTCTATTGTCAATTAGGCCAGGGGTTTGCTTGGTTTTATAAAAGGTGGTTTGCCTTACATCGCCTAAATTGGGATGCAATCTTCATACTACCTCCTTATTCCAGTAGACTAATTTTAATTAATTTACCTTCCCTAGCTAACCATAAAACGATAGTTGGAACAGTGTTTATTTGTAATCTGATTCGTGGTGAAGTTAGCAGTCCCGACTTGCTTGGCTAAACTTCTCTGTTCCAAGCAGATTCAATAGAAACTACTTTCCCCTACACTAGTCGGCATAAGTATTTTGACAAAATAAACGCTAAACGTTTTGTCAGTAAAACTATAAAATGGCTTGATATGATAGTAACGATTATTTTTTATGTGTAAGAAACATAAACCTAAAAATTAACAAACGAATATTTCTTCTTTGAAACCTATAAAGATATAAACAATTTAATAAAATATGATGAATTTTTGTATTTGGCATACATAAGTCTTTTGACAAGCCTTTAATAACAAAAAATAAGTTTAAATGAAGCTGGAGCTGTTTTGAAAGAATTCATGAAATATATATCCTCCTTAGAAATTAATAACTTTTTGGAGTCGGTCCTTTGCTGAATCCACCAAATTGTGGAGGATCTCTGGAGTTATCTATCTCAGTGATCTCAGAAATCATCTCCTCCCGAGTTTTGTGTAACGAAACTGTTCTTTTGAGTTTTAAAAGGGACCAGATGTTCTCAATAATATTTAAATCTGAACTTTGAGGTGGCCAGTTCAAGACGGTGACGCCAACATCCTTTAGAAAATTGGTTATCATTCGGGCTTTGTGGCATGGAGAATTATCTTGCTGCAGGATAAATGACTCCCCGATCAGCCTATATCCAGAAGGAAATGCATTTTCGTTTAGGGTTGTTAAATATTGTCCTTGGTTCATCGAGCCGGAGATGTGGACCAAGTCATCCAACCCATTGTAGGCAACACATCCCCACATCATGACAGAGCCACCATGGCCCACTTTCTGACAAACGGGGTGTGTTTTTTTGTCTTTGCTGAGTTGGCAATCTTACAACAATTTTTAGTTTCGACGAGTTATACGGGAAAGAGCTTACATCTGTCCATAAAACACTTCTCCAGAACGACTTTGGCTTGTCCATATCTTCTTTTGCAAATTTCAACCATTTAATCTTGTTTATTTTTGAAATATACGGCACATCCTTAGCAATATATGTCTTCATGTCCTGTTCCTTTAAGCGTCGCCGGACTGTGCGCTCACTGATTGCCTTACGATCACTTTTCGGAAGGCTGGCGGTAAGATTTCACTGCGTTGCAACGGCTTGGGGTTTCGCAAGAGGATTTTTTTTTAATTCCCGTATAAGGATTTTATCGTCAGCGAATGTTGATTTGCGCTTAGGACCAGTTCTTTTTAAGTTTTTTAAGTTATTATATGTTTTAAACTTTAAACTCTTTCGCAATGTTTTTTACTTTAAATCCAGCGTTAAACTGTGCTACGATTGATGATCTAATAAACAAACTTAACTCAGCCTTTTTACCCATGGCCAGCAATTAATTTTTGGTTTTTTAATAACGTTTAATATCCAAAAAAGTGAAATTTAAACAATTGTTGATTTACACGTGCTCAAAAGCAGGATCCCATTTTCTAAATGAGATTGTCAAAGTACATGTGCCAAACAAAAATTGATTGTCTGTGTGCATTCTTGTAAGTAGAAAGACAATATAATGGGTAAGCCGTATAAAAATTGTCATTTTGTGTGCTAAATATTTATTCTTTGCTTTGCAAATCATATTCGCACCGTTAGCTAATTGTATAAAGCGCAAGCCAGTTTCAAAAGAAGCTGACAATTTTGTCAAAATACTTATGCCGACTAGTTTATTTTAAATCATTGTAGATCTAACTATGAGTTGCATGACCCCTACAGTACTATCTTTTTTAACAGATAATTAGATCTTACAAATATTTACATATTTTCTCGTTTTTTTACTATTTCCTATATCGCGTCTTCTCGCGAATCGAGCCGTACGATACACGGCAGCGCCTCTCGGTCGGTTGGGCCGGAGGTGGTCCGTGGAACTAACGAGAAAAAACAATTACTTTAATTGGTTTCAATCATATGTATATGACTAGCTTATTAATGGAAAAGAAAGCCAATCATTGTTGTTTTCGATCAAAAAGCATTCTAGTTCGGTACACACCAGTTTTATAACAACATAACATATGTATGTGTAACTATCACGACCACAATTTCTTAAATATGTTACGATTTAACTTTTCTTTTTGTTAGTTTATATCGAGCTGGCAAACAAATGTGATTCCTTTACGCTAAATATCGATATTTAAATTTAGGAAAATATTTCTGTGACTTACAAATGAAAAAAAAGGGAACCACATATGTATAACACACGAGACTAAAAGAAACGTAAGGGCCGTTTAGACAGGGATTGCTTTTAGCTTTTTGGACGAAAATCAATTTTAATACCCGTCACTTGTAATGTTAAAGAATATACTTTCAAATAATTGGATGTACATATTCATTTTTTCATTTAATTTCTAGTTCAGACCTAGGTTTCTTATACGTGATTTACCTTGCTTACCCATTTTCTATATTTATTCTCTTTGTACATATAATTATTTCATATTTGCATTTTTTATGTGGACCAAACCCTTCAGAGCACTCCATCACCTAATTAATTAATACAAATTCTGACGTTACACTATTAACAAATTTAGAAATGGTTAGCAAGTAGGCTACTCAAATTAATTTTTTAATATTATATTCCAAATCCAAACTTAATTTTAACACAATGGCGTCAGGCATCACTTGATCAAGTTCGAGTGTGCGTTTGCTGCCATTTGAAAAAATGTATTTAGTATGTATTTGTACCGGGAAAATTAATCCAGGAAGCGTTTTTTAAGCCTGCATACATATGTATATCCTCTCGGCAAATGTGTGCTAGTCATTTTATTTTGTTGACAGAGTTTGTACTTACATTTTTATAGTCGGTTAAAAACGTACATATGAATTCGTAGAACGTCGTCTAACAAAATATTTATGTTATCTTTGTTCGATATAAAAAAAGAAAATAAAAAACCTACCTCTATCAAACCAACTCGGTAATACCTAAGTAGACAGCGCTTCAAATTGTCCTTCTTTTGTCGAAAACTTAATAAATGTTTTATTTTTACAACTATTTTATTGATTGTAATGATTGTAATCTCTCAAGTAGATGTACCTATGTAAGAACTCAAATAAAATTTGAATTGAATTGAATTTGATCCACTAATCTATCGAAGTGTAACACTAAGGTAAAAATTGAGATTCACATTATAACATTAGGCATGTATGTGCATATAGACCAAGGTCTTATGGTAAGACAATTTCCTTTAAATGATAAAGAATCGTCCAGTTAAGAAAACTCGATTTTTTCGTACCTTAACATATTTTTAGGTTCTTTTCACACTAGATCGTATCCCTTAAGAGAACTCGATGACCACGTTGTATCCAATTCAGTGTGCGGAGTGTTTACAAAGTAGTTGCGTTGTCTTTGCGTTTTTAATCGATTTTAATATTTCAAAGACTTTAAAGCAAACGGTAGTGTTGTACTTGGCCCACAACCCGACTTTATTGACGGCTTGCTCGACTAATCGTTGTCGCAAGTTAATTATATTCGAAACTTTCTTGCTCGATAATTGGATCTACATATGTCTTGTAGCAAGTCCTGACAGTGTGTTTCTGGCCAGAGTAGCACCTTTAATTCAACCTGAGGATCCATATCATCAAAGTTTTGAGGTGACAATCGACACAGGTACCGTAATAAAAAAGAAATAACAGAAGTCAACCAAACGAGTTCACTGTTTTCGCAAGGCAAACTTTCTGAGGCTAAATAATTTTTTCCGAAACAGTTTTATTACTTCGTTAACACTAAGCGCAGAACTTTTTGAAAATACTACTGTAACATCGGATCAGGCTATAGCCGATCGATTCTCCCAGTTTTTTTAAACAACATATTGTATTTTACGGTACCTCATTTTGAACAGCCTTACTCTTACGCGGTATCAAAATGGAATTAATATATTGTCCCATTCTAAACGAAAGCTCACAGCTTTACGATCTTCCGCCTGTCTATTCGCCAGGTCCCGACGGAATTTCTGGCTGTGTGCTTAGGTTCTGTGCGGAAGCCTTGAGCAAGCCTCTACTGAAACTGTTTACCTTATCTCTGGAATCTTCACAGTTCCCTCATATATGGAAGGAGTCCTTTGTGATCCCTCTCCATAAAAAATGTAACAAATGGATGCAAGCATTTACAGAGGAATCTCTAAATTGTCGGCAATCTCTAAGCTTCTTGAAAATATTATCTCTCCTCATATGCAGAGCCTTTGAAGGTCAAATAATATATATTACAGTGTCAGTACGGTTTTATGAAAGGCAGATCAACAACCACTAACCTTTTGGAGCTAACTTCTTTCGGGCTTCAAAAATAATATTCAAACATATGTCATCCACACTGACTTTAGTAAAGCATTTGACTCTGTTAATCATTCACTTTTGGTTAGGAAACTTGATATATTAGGTTTCCCTGTTGATCTTGTGGGAGTCGAGTCAGGATGGCAACCCAATAGGAGTTATCGCAATCAATTGGCAACGAACCATTATAGCCAAGTTCAGATCCTGGCAAAATTGAATATTGCACAGTTCAACTTTTGGCACCGTCCCCAAATTAATCGACAAGCGTCGTGTCGACCGAATAAGCGTTTTTCAAGGCAAATACTGCCAATAGTTAGTTTAAACATTAATTGGTAATCGTGCTTTAACATTAATTGATAAGCTTCGAGTTCGATCGCCAGTGCTTAACAATTGATTTCAAAAATAGCGCCCACCCCAGGATTGGCCGCGTTGCCTAAGCGGCTTATATTATTTTTAGCCCCCTCAACTTTTGACCACATGTGGAATTTTCTGTGCCTTTATCGATCGCAGCAAGATCCACGTCTGCGTGCAACTGGAGTACTCGCTGTGCTTTCTCCTTTCTGCTGTCAACCAAGTGCAGATCGCAGGCCACCCCGAGATGGAGGCGCAAGCGAGGAGCAGATCGCCGTGCACCCTTTTCTGCTTCTTCTACGTGCAAACATCGGCTTGGTGCGCATCTTTTCTTCGCCTTCATCGCGCACATACATTTGGTGCGCTGTCTCCGTCGCATACATCGAATAGCGTGTCTTCTGCTTCTTCATCCGTGCGCATTGCATGAATATTCGTGCACGACCCGATTCCAGCGAGAAGCTTATAGTTGTAACGCTACATCCGCTGCGTACTTGAAGCAGCCCAACACGAATGATCGTGTGCAAACTTGAGTACCTTTAGAGTAGTTTTGCATATATATGTTAATTTTTCTATGAATATGTACTTATAAACTTTACGATTCTAATTTAGTGTACTTTGTGGAAGATCTGAGAAATATATACATATGTGATTTGTGATTCAGCAACCACATAGTTTACGTTCATAATGCCCTAGCATCTAAGTAGCTTCTTGCAAATAATGCTGATACGCCGATGCAAATAATGAATGCAGCGAGAAATCGCAGACTTACTGCAAAAAGGTATTATTAGAACCTCAAGGTCGCCGTACAACAATCCAACATGGGGTGTGGACAAAAAATGACATGATGAGCTGGGAAACAAAAAATAAGCGTTTGGTTATAGACTTTCGGAAACTTAACGAAAAAACCATCGCTAATAAGTACCCAATGCCAAACATCCCATGATACTGGCAAAGTTAGGAAAAGCCAAGTACTTTACAACGTTAGATTTGAAGTCCGGCTTCCACCAGATATATTTGGCCGAGCATGACCGTGAGAAGACCTCTTTTTCGGTTAACGGCGGAAAGTATGAATTTTGTCGATTACCATTCGGGTTGAAGAATGCGGGAAGCATCTTCGAAAGAGCGATCGACGACGTCTTACGGGAACAAATGGGCAAATCGTGCTATGTTTATGTAGATAACGTCATTATTTGTTTCTGAAAATGAAAACGACCATGTTAGCCATATAGACTGGATTTTAAAAAGCCTGTGTGATGCCAACATGAAGGTATCCAACGAGAAGACACACTTTTTTAAGCAAAGCGTTGAATATCTGGGATATATTGTCACCAATGGAGGTGCAAAAACCGACCCAGAAAAAGTAAAGGCCATAAAGGAATACCCAGAGCCTACAAATTTGTATGAGCTAGGGTAATTTTTGGGTCTAGCCGCGATCGCGAGGCCTTTGACAAGCTTGTTGAAATGAGAAAACGGCTCTATCAGCAAGCAGTGGTGCGGTTCTATCGCAAGATAAAAGACCCATCACTATGATCTCTGGGACCCTAAAAGAGAGGGAGTCACACTACGCCACGAATGAAAGAGAATTGTTGGCTATAGAGTGGGCTTTAGGCAAGTTACAACACTACCTCTACGGCACTCGCGATATTAACATTTATACGGAATATATGCCGCTGTCATTCGCGGTGTCCGATCGGAATCCAAATCCGAAGATAAAAAGGTGGAAAGCGTATATTGATGATCATAACGCAAAAATCCACTACAAACCGGGTAAATACGAAACCGGGCTGACGCTACAAAATGAGCCTCAGTCAGACGCTGCGGCTATTCACAGCGAACTGTCACTGACCTACACGGTCGAAGCGACAGACCTAACAGTAAAATGCTTCAGAAATCAAATTGTTATAGAAGAAGCACGTTTCCGACTAAAGCGAAGCTTGGTGTTGTTTCGTAGTAAAACTCGCCTCTTAATCAATTTCGCCGACAAAAGCACCATTTTGGAAATGCTGAAGGAGGTCATGAACCCCGAAGTCGTAAATGCGATACACTGCGATCTGCCCACCCTGACAAGTTTTCAACATGATTTAGCAAGTCCTCCACGATTACTATTTCCCCAATATAAGCAGCCTAGCAAAGGAAGTGATGCAAATTGCAAAATATGCACCAAAGCCAAATATGACAGGCACCCTAAGAAACAGGAGCTCGGGGAAACACCCATACCAAGCTATACCGGCGAAATATTGCACATTGATATCTTCTCAACTGATAAGAAGCAATTCTTAACATACGTTGACAAGTTCTCGAAGTTTGCAATAGTGCAACCAGTGCTGTCCAGAACAATAGTGGACGTCAGAGGGCCCCTGCTTCAACTCGTAAATTTGTTCCCCAAAATCAAAACGATATATTGCGACAATGAAGCCGCCTTCAATTCGGAAACTATCACCTCGTTACTTAAAAACAGCTACCACATTGACATTGTGAACGCGGCCCCGCTGCATAGCTTGTCAAACGGTCAAGTGGAACGTTTCCACAGCACCTTGACAGAAATATCCAGGTGCCTTAAGTTAGACAAAAAAATCAGCTATACGACAGAACTAATCTTAAGGGCAACGATAAAATATAATAAGACCCTACACTCAGGAGAAACCGGTCGAGATCCTCTACACGGGCTCCGATGATCGCTGCCTAGGCATTAAAGACAGGTTGATAAAGCCCCAGCAAAACAACATCGAAAGATGCAACCCAGCTAGGCAAAACCGTGTTTTTGAGGTAGGAGACGAAGTTTTTGTCAAAAACAATAAAAGGTTAGGAAACAAACTAACTCCATTGTGCAGAGAACAAAAAGTGCAGGTAGACCTGGGAACCTCTATTCTTATTAAGGGGAGGGTGATCCATAAGGACAACCTTAAATAAGATTCCCACTTTTAATTTGCTAATACCATAATCTTTAATAGTAAGCCAGATTTAAGTAAATACACCGTGGTCTCATTCTACGTTTGGATTGCAGGTTCGCCTTCATAACGCCCATCACCCTGGCAGTGGCAAGTGCACGGATTACCGGCTTTTCTCACGCCAAATACATTCCCGTCGTAGATGGAGATGTACTGGTGTTTGAACATCGTGACTGCCTGAGGCACTCGAGCAACCTATCTGAATTTATTAGCACGGTAGAAAAGACAGAAAAATTGTCCGAATCTTTTCCACACTCGCATATGCGCAAATTATTAGATGTTGATACAGATCATCTTATAAACTTGTTGTCCGTTCTAAAAATACACCACCGAACTGCGAGAAGTTTAGACTTCTTGGGTACAGCTCTTAAGGTAGTTGCGAGAACTCCTGACGCCTCAGATTTCCTAAAAATCAAAATGACAGCTGGTGGACTCAAACTTCAGGCAGATTAACATAAACTCCGAAACTCAAAAACAGATAAACAAGCTAACCAACACCATTAACAAAATTATTAAAGCCCGAAATAACGATTTGGTTTACACCCCGCATCTGTACGAGGCACTACTAGCGAGGAATAGAATGCTGACAACAGAGATACAAAATTAATTCTCACTGTAACATTGGATAAAGCGAACATAGTAAATCTCACTATCCTTGATCATGCCGATCTGAAATCACTAATTGAACAAGACATTCCAATAGTTAGTTTATTTGAAGCCTGTAAAATTAGGGTTCTTCAGTCCGATAACATTATCCATATATTAATAGCCTATCCTAGAGTCATGGTCAGATGTAAAAAAGTCCTCGTGTAACCGGTATCACATTATCAAGTAA